GGGTCACAGACGTACCAGTATTCAGTCACTGTGTTCAGGTGTTAAAGTTACAGTAACATCATCTTCATCATCATCTTCATCATCATCATCATCAGTAACAGATTTGTTCTCATGTCAGTCACTGACTCGTCTTCCTCACTGACTGACTCGTCTTCCTCACTGACTGACTCGTCTTCCTCACTGACTGAGTCGTCTTCCTCACTGACTGACTCGTCTCCTCACTGACTGACTCGTCTTCCTCACTGACTGACTCGTCTTCCTCACTGACATTAATGGGACATTTCATCTGGTTTCATGTTGACGGAGCAGAAACACAGGCAGACGGAGTCGTGGAGACTGACGGCCGTGAAATACAAAAGCTGCCGAGCCAGGAAAAAACATCACTCTGATCACACTCACCCCCCCCCCAACCCCCGCACCCCCCCACACACACCCGGGGGCTGAGGAAACGCTGCAGCGCTGAGGTGAACACGACACAAATCCTTGGACGTTTCTCAGGGAAAATAAAGAACTGACAGAGTTTCAGGTTAGACTGAGACTCTGTATCAAAGGTCCAGGTCCAGGTCCAGGTTTAGGTCCAGGTCCAGGTCCAGGTCCAGGTACAGTCCAGTCCAGTCCAGTCCAGTTTAGTCCAGTCCAGTCCAGTCCAGTCCAGTCCAGTTCAGTCCAGTCCAGGTCCATTGTTGAAGCGTCGTTGTTACGACCGTGTCTTTAATAGTGGTTCTAGTCCAAGTCCAGGTCTTGATCAGAGATAAAATGTTTTTATGTTGTAGTCAAGTCTAGATCATATGGGAAGGAGTCCAGGTCCAGGAATGTTTAGAGTCTATTCCCAGGACTCCAGGTCCAAGTCACCGACGGACGAGTTGAACAAGTACCTAAGGATCTGTGTCCTAGTCACAAGTTTAAATGTTGGACTCTAACGACCCTGTCCACAGTTGACCAGGACTTGAACCTGCGACCTTCTAGTCCCAGCAGGTCTCTGCAGCTGGCAGATATGTCCACCCCCCCACCACTCCCCCCC